CACTCTCCAAGGCAGGGAGAATGGCTCTGGGTGTGTGACAGATCCTACTTCCAGCCCAGGTGACTCAGCAATTGCTGAAGTTGGTCTGGGACCCCGTGTAGAGCAAGGAGTGGGGAGGTAAATGGGAGAGAGGTTTTTCCCTAAGAGGGGTGTTTTTGACCCATGCAATAAGCCATACGCAAGTACTTATCTTTCGCCAATGAGGGCTGCTTCTCACTGGTTCTGGGTGGCTGTGTAGACTCTCTGGTGCTGGGTCTCTCCCACTGTGGAAAACACACCTCCTGAGCACTGCCACTTGCCTGCCTCACCGCTCACCCATGAGCTGCTCAGGTCTGAAGGGCTCAGGCTCTCGCTGGGTCAGGTTTGGCAACTCCTCGCTGCTTCCGAACCATCTCTCCTTCCCCCTGCCACTCAGTCTGATTCCTCAACTCTGCCTTTGGTGTTCAGGGCTCCCAGATTGCCATATATAATCAAATCACTTGCTTTTTGGGGTCTTTGTTGTAAGAGCGTCTACCGGAATTGTCTGACTACTCCGCCATCTTGGCCCCGCCTCCTGGCCAAAACGTTTTAAAATAAATATTGTGTCTTTCGAAGGAGGATTTTTCTCATGCATATTATTTAAGATTTTTTTTCTTTCATTTTCCACTTACTATTAAAGAAGAAATTCCCATCTTATACAGAATACAAAAATGGTGAAACAAGCAAATCATCGTTGAATATATAAGGGTGCAAGGCTATTATTTTCTAATCAGATACTTAGATGGGTACCTACCTTTGGAGATCTCTCATTCACATTCACATATATGTCATTCATGGAAGGAGAAACAGGTAGGATGCAGGGGACTGACCTGGGCATTCTTGTTCCCATTTTGAGAACTTTCTCCCCAGAAATTTTTTCTAATTCTGATTTCACTATAGGATTGTTAGGATTTGAATAAAGTCTGTAAAGTAAAAGTGGTAAACAAGCTTGGAAACTAAAGTGAAATATTACAATGGCAGATAAAATAACAAGTTTGAGGTAATAAGTATTTAACTCTTACCTATTTTGCCCATATATTGTTGTTAGTTGCTGTCAAGCTGCCTCCAACTTATGGCAACCTTGTATATAACAGAATAAAATGCTGCCCAATCCTGTGCCATCTTCATGATAGTTGGTATGTTTGAGTTCATTGTTGTGGCTACTGTGACTATCCATCTCACTGAGGGTTTTCCCTTCATTTTCACTGGTCCTTGTGATGGTTAAGGCTGTGTGCCATCTTGGCTAGGCCGTAACTCTCAGTGGTTTGGCAGTTATGATGTGCAGTTATAATGTAGTTTGGCAGTCATATAATGATGCAATCACTTCCATGATGAGATCTGATATAATGTGATCAGTTCCATGATGGGATCTGCTGTGAGAAGCTAATCGGTTGAAAGGGAGTTTCCTTGAGGGTATAGCCTGTACACAATACAGACAGATTTTCTGACAAGGCTTATTGGCTTTTTGGTTGCTCTGGATCCTACCGCTGGCTCCTGTTCATTTGACCTCCAGGTCTTGGGACTTGAGCTAGCAGCTTACCTGCTGATTTTGGGATTCGTCAGCCTCTGCAGTCCGGATCTTGGGTTTGCCAGACCCTGAAGCTATGTGAGTTGAGAGAAGACTCCAACCTGACCCACAGATTTGGGACTTTCCAGCCTGTGCAACCACTTGAGCCATTTCCTTTATATATCTTTCTTTCTCTGTGTGTATATATTCACTGGTTTTGCTTCTCTAGAGAACTCAGCCTAAGATAGTCCTCTACTTTACCAACTGTGATGTCCTTTTCTATTGATTAGTCTTTCCTGATGACCCATCCAAAGTAAGCAAGTTGAAGTCTTGTCATACTCCCTTCTGAGGAGCATTCTGCTTGTATTTAAGACTGCCTTGATCATTCTTTTAGCAGTTCATAGTAAATCCACTAGACTGCCAAAATAATTTTGCCCATATAGTTATACTAAATTTCATTCACTTGTATTCAGAATTTATAACTTATAATTTATAATCATAGTATAGAAGATGATTTTTTTTTGTATTTGAAGGAATAGCTTATTGAGGAAGTTAGTATTATAAATACAATTTCAAGAATAACAACCTAGAGAACAAACATTTGTGTGCACCTTTAATCATCAAGCCCCCTCCCTATCCCATGCATCCTTTGCTAATTAACTCCTTCTGTCCTTCAGGTTCAAATCAGGCACCACTTTCTCAGACCTGGCTTCCCTTACCAGACCAAATCCTTACTAGATACTCTTACAGTACTTTGTACTGCTTCTTCTTAGCACTTAACATTGCATCAATTTGATACTTATTTTTGTAATTACTTAACTAATATCGTTCTCCTCCATTTGAGTATCAACTCCATGAGGACAGGTACTGTGGGCCATATGTACTTAACTCACCTTTGTTTCTCTAGTATCTAGTTTAGTAGTTGCTGCACAAATAATTAGAAGTATATATTTACATATAAAGAGCTGATATGTGAATTGTGAATTAATATCATTATTTGTTAAAATATCTACCAAGTGAACTTTACCTAAATAAACTTTTTACCCTTATTACAGCTACTATATGTAAATAAAAACATTAAGAGTGCATTGATTTTAATAAATTGAGTAAATAAGATTGTATTTTCATTTCAAATAGGCTTGGTTGAGTTATTCTGAATAGCTCAGTTAGAAATGCAGGATTCAAACGATAGGTTTTCTTATTTCTCAAAGGCATTTTTGGCTATTATTATAATAAACACAAGTGACTTTAAAACATAAATTTTGTGAAACAATTATCTGTGAAGGCTGTTAAAGCAACTCTACATTTTTCCCTTGCAATATACTGAAAAATTCCTTTAAAATAATGAATATTATAATCTTGACAATGATATTTATCTCTAATGCATTTTTAAAATAATACTTAAAAATTTTAACGTTGCACAACACCTATATTTGAGAAAGCTATATAATTAATTATTCCCAATTAAATTAAAATTCATCCCATAATTATTATTATTTGAGCCATAGAAAGTCTATTGAAAATTTGAATTACTAAATAAAGAATTTAGGGCAAGCAGATATAGGGAAAAGACAGTCTTTTTAATAAATGGTGCTGGCAAAACTAGATATTCATCTGCAAAAAAAGAAAATGAAACAGAACCCATACCTCACACCATACACAAAAACTAATTCAAAATGGATCAAAGACCTAAATATAAAACCCAAAACTACAAAGATCATAGAAGAAAAAATAGGATCAACACTAGAGGCCCTAATACACAGCATTAACAGGATACAAACCCATAACTAACAACACACAAACACCAGAAGATAAGCTAGATAACCGGGATCTTCTAAAAATTAAACACTTCTGCTCATCAAAAGACTTCACCAAAGGAGTAAAAAGGGAATGTACAGACTGGGAAGAAATTTTTGGCTTTGACAAATTTGACAAATGTCTCATCTCTAAAATCTATAGGAAAATCCAACATCTCTACAATAAAAAGATAAATAATGCAATTAAAAAATGGGCAAAGGAAAGGAACAGACACTTCACCAAAGAAGACATTTAAGTGGCCAACAGACACATGAGGAAATGCTCTGGGTCACTAGCCATTAGAGAAATGCAAATCAAAGCCACAATGAGATACCATCTCACCCTAGCATTACTGGCACAAATCAAAAAAACAGAAAATAACAAATGTTGGAGAAGCTGCAGGAAGTTTGGAACTCTTATGCACTGCTGGTGGGAATGCAAAATGGTACAACCATTTTGGAAAACAATATGGCACTTCCTTAGAAAGCTAGAAATAGAAATACCATATGATCCAGCAATTCCACTCCTAGGAATATATCCTAGAGAGATAAGAGCTGTCACACAAGTAGACACATGCACACTCATGTTCACTGAAGTATTGTTCACAATAGCAAAAAGATGGAAACAACCTAGATGCCCATCAATAGATGAATGGATAAACAAACTATGGTACATACACACAATGGAGTACTACGCATGACATCACAAAGAACAACGATGAATCTGGAAAGCATATCACAACATGGATGAATCTGGAGGGCATTATGCTGGGTTAAATAAGTCAATCACAAAAGGACAAATATTGTATGAGACTACTACTATAAAAACTCATAGAAAGGTTTATACACAAAAAGAAACAATCTTTGATGGTTACGAGGTGGAGAGGGGTGGGGATGGAAAAATGCTAACTAAAACAATAGATAAGTGGTAACTTTGGTGAAGGGTAAGACAGTACACAATACTAGGGAAGCCAGCACAACTTGCACAAGACAAGGTCATGGAAGTTCCATAAACACATCCAAACTCCCTGAGGGACCGAATTACTGGGACCATGGTCTTGGGGAATATTTTGCTCAACTGGCATAATAGTTTATGAAGAAAATGTTCTACATTCTACTTTGGTGAGTAGCGTCTGGGCTCTTAAAAGCCTGTGAGCAGCCATCTAAGATACTCCACTGGTCTCACCCCTTCGGGAGCAAGGAAGAATAAAGAAAACTAAAGACACAAAGGAAAGGACTAGTGGACCACAAGTACTATGGCCTCTAAAATTCTAACTCACAGAAAAAGAGAAGACTTACTGGCCTGACAGATATTGGAAAAACCCCCAGAGTATGGCCCTCGTACACCCCTTTAGCTCAGTAATGAAGTCACTCCTGAGGTTTACCCTTCAGCCAAAGATTAGACAGGCCCATAAAACAAAATGTGACTAAAGGGGCACACCAGCCCAGGGGCAAGGATGAGAAGGCAGGAGGGGACAGGAAAGCTGGTAATAGGAAACCCAAAGTAAAGAAAGGAGACTGTTGACATGTTGTGGAGTTGTTAACCAATGTCATAAAACAATATATGTATTAACTGTTTAATGAGATGCTAGTTTGTTTTGTAAACCTTCATCTAAAGTACAATTAAGAAAAGAATTTAGAGCATGCAGATATGATTATACTATTGCTCTTCTGACAGCTTGAGTTTACATATATAGATAACAAAAACAGTTTTATTTTTTGTTAATTTCCTTGTCAGAGAAAGGACTGCATTTCAATAGTAAAATGTAATAAGATAAACACTTTTTTGCAGTTTTGAAATGATGCTGAGTTGAACTTCTTTTGTCATGTTACTATTTCCTTTTGAAGAAAAAAATAATGCTAAATACTGTCAATTTCCAGACTTTCCCTCACCTTTGTGTATTAAGCTTTTCAGTAACATCACATAAAAAGATTAAAAAAATTGTCAGGAAAAATTTGAACGGTCAGATTATGATAACTTTTTTCTCATAATTTGATAGCTGCTCTGAGTTTAGCTGAGCGCCCTCTGGGGTTGTCCTGTACATCCTGATCTTCTGGAGTAAGCACCTTCTTGTGTATCAATTCCCACATTAAAGGAGCCTTTAATGAGACATCCTCTTTGTTTTCTTGACCTGAACCCAATTGTGATGATTGTAACACCTTTTGTCTAGCACTTAGGTTAAACCTTTCTGTCATGCTTATCCCAAGTAAGAATCGTTTGACTATGCGATCCTCTAGTGAATGGAAGGAGAGAGCAACAAGACGACCACCAGGTCTCAAAAACTTCTGAGCTGTCTTCAGTCCTGTGTAGAGTTCATTGAGCTCATTGTTCACAAATATGCGAAAAGCTTGGAAAGTCTTGGTAGCAATGTGAGTAGATCGCCGGAGCAAGTCTTTTCGTGCATAAGTAGCAGAAGCAGGAAATGCACCTAGGAAGAGATTTTGAAAAAACAGGAGGGGGACAATAACATTAATATTTTCCACTGTAAATCTACTAGTTTGTGTTGTGTGTGTGTTAAAAAAATTAAGTTTTCATAGAAAATTGTGGCATTTCATTTCATTCATATTTCCCTCTATATTTCAAAGCATTCTACCAAGGTTTAAAACTATGTGTCAGAAATATCTTTCATAATTCACAAGGAGAGAAGAAAGAGAAAGGAGTGGACAAATATTTGAAGAAATAATAACCAGAAACTTCCCAACTTTAGTGAAAAACATTAACTTACAGATCCAAGAAGCCCAATGAATCCCAGATAGAATAAACAAAGAAAACTACACCTAGGCACATCATAATCAAACTGCTATAAGAAAAATCTTGAAAGCAGCACAGAAAAAAAAAAAAAATTACATAAGAAAGAACAAAAATAAGAGCACACTGGAGGCTATAAGACACTGGAGTAACGTATTCAAAATTTTGAGAAAAAAAATTTTGTCTTCCAAGAAGGCAGTGAAAATATTCTTCAAAGATAAAGGTTCAAAGATACTTTCAAATAAGTAAAAACTAAGAGAATTCTTTGCTAACAAGTCTGGGTCTGTATTCAGGAAACACTAAAGAAAATTCATCAGACTGAAATTAAATAGCACCATATGAAAACTTGGACCTAGAGAAAGAAATAGAGTAGCAGACAGGTAGTAAATATAAATGACTACATAAACCAAACCAGTTGCTGTTGGGTGGATTCAGACTCGTGGTAACCCCTTGTGTTGCAGAGTAGAAATGTGCACCATTGAGTTTTGAAGAAGCTTACAGCTAGGGCTTTCTTAGTTTCCTCTAGATGGGTTTGAATTACCAACCTTTCAGTTAGTAGTCAAGTGCTTAACCATTTCAAATATATATTTAAATACATTTCTTCTATATAAATATATTTAAATAATATATATTTTACATATAATTTTTAACATAGCACTGAATTAGCTCCACCTGGCTCTGTTTAACTAAATTTATGAAATAAGAGAAAGGCAAAGAACTTAATAAATACTTGCATGATATTGTTATTGAATATATTTTTTAAAATTAATGAAAATGGGGAGTGTTGAAATAAAATAATCTCTGAAATCATCATAGAAATTCTAATATAAAAAACAGCATTGGTTCATTTGACGTGACAAAGCATGGCAGGCATTTCTGATTATCAGCTAAAATGGTGCCTTGGCTATGGCAGCAGGACAGACATAGTTTATAATTTACTCAGTCAGCTAGCTATGAAATTATGAGATTCCTAATTTTTTTAAATTTGATGATATCGAGTTTTATTTCAAAGTATGCACCTAAAGTGAGACTTCATTAATATTTTTATCACACAGTTTCAAATAACATAATTCATATTCACATTAAATATATCCACACTATATATGAATCTGCAGATGGTATATTAACATTACTGCAATTGGACAGGCTTTTCCTTATAAGGTCTACTTAGGCCATCTCAATGTCCCAAAGTCATGGAGAAAGAACATGAGAGCTTTCATTTATATTTAGGAATGGATGATTCTGAAAATGATTATATGAAATGAATTTAAAAAGAAACAAAATAATATAAAACAGCATATGGTAACGGAAATTAAAGTAGCAACAACAAAATATCAACAGGCAAAGGTATAAAAAGACAAGAAAAAAAAAATCATCTTCTGAAGGATTAAGCAAGGTACTTTGAATGAGAAAGTTTAAAGATAACCAGCAAGTGTCTGGTGCTGAGGAAGTTAACCTGAGTTTCATTGTGAAGGTTACCGGTCAGAGAGCCAGAGCCAGAGTTCTCCTAGGTTTGTACAGACTAGGTACAGCATATGCCTACAAGTCATCAGAAAAAAAAGATTCAACCACTACACCAGATTCAATGCTTACCCATGTGCTGGACTCTGAATTAGGACACGGAGAAAAATAATAATGAGACACGGTCCCTGCCCTTGAGGAGAGCACAGGGTCTTGCAAACTTTCTTTACCTCTTCCTACCTCCCATATCCTGTTAGCAGAAATAGAAACTAAGTTCTCTGCTTTTCCACTTCCTGAATTTAATCAGAGTCTAGTATGGCTAATTCAGTTGATTAGAGCACAGAGTAGGTAAGAAAGAAAATATGGACTCAATCACAATTTGGGTCATTTTGTTTGGTGAAAGAAAATGTCCTTTTTGTGTTTTATAATTCATCAATGGACTTAGTTAGCACTGAGCTGGTGTGTATCAGCTCTAAGTGGGAAGAGGTGTGCTTACCCCTAGTGTAGCTCTTATCACACTCTGTGTAATTACTAGTTTACCTGCCCGTATCACTCACTTGACTCTAATCTCCTTGAGAACAGGAACTATTTTGTGTTCACTCTTGTATCTGTATTGCTTGACAAACAGGCTTGTGATTCTTAACCCTGACTGCACATTAGAATCACCTGTGGTGTGTTTGAAATTATACAGATGCTAGATCCAGTCCAGACCTACTGAATGAGGGTTTCTGGGGCTTATTACCAGGGAATCATTACTTTTTAAAAGCTTCACAGGTGATTTTGACATGCTACCAAGATTAAGAACTACTACAGTAAACACTCAGTAACTGTTTGCTGAAAAGATAATGAATAGATTATGAATGGAAAAAAAAAAAAGGATAAATGGCCAAATACAAATCTAGGACTATTACTACAAACGGCTTCATTCACATTAGTGGGTGGGTATATGAAAAACACAATATCCAGTCACATCAATGAGTGACTAAATGAAGAACATAATATTTTTAGTCACAGAGAATATTATGAATAAAGTTAAAAAATAATGTCATGAAACAGGCCCCAATCTTATATGCTACTTTTTAGCCAAACGTGATTGTGGATACCAAATTATGATTCTAGTGGAGCAACTGAATGCTCAAATTTGCTAGCAGTTTCATTGTCTCAATACAACTGATTGCATGTATTTATTTAATTATACCTAATAGTGACTGGGAATCTCCTTAATCAATCAACCATTTACAAATGCAGTGGAGCACCTGCAAATAATTTTAGCCTCAGGAAATGCCAGCTTGCAAGCCTTTATTACCTGAAATACAGCAAATGTGCAAGGTAAACATTTTTCATATTTATTTTGTAGAATAACATGAGGCATGGGAGTGTAATGGCAACACTGGGAAATTTATATTTCAAAATAATTTCATCAAGATCTTAAGTGATTTTTTTCAGGTTCAAGGTTTTTTCCCACAAAGGTTCATGCATAATATTGTTGAGATTTTATGTGAGCTTTATTTCATTTAACATCTGTGAAATCCTAAACCACTATAGTTATCTCAATACTTCAAAATAATATTGCTGGTTTCCTCTTAATACTTTAAAATAGCAAAATTATAGTCAGTAAAATTGACTACAAAAGGAAATTATAGGCTATTATGCACTTAATCGGATTGACACAGTGGTTGCAACAATGGGCTCAAACAGCAATGAGTGTGGTGCAGGATATCTTGTTCTGTTATACAAAAGGTTGCTATGAGTCAGAACTGACTACACAGCACCTAACAATAACAAAACATTTAATAGTAACGTGTTTCCCAGTCAAACATATATACATATATTAAATATATATATATTAAACACACACACTTTTTAAAAATGTGCATGTGAAAGTATGGGATAAGAAATTCTAATTTCAGTACAATTTTAAGACATTATTTGGCCTCTCTCACAGAAATGTTGAGGAAATTCATGACGTAACAGATTGACCCAAGCCACGCAAGAGTTCTGCCTCATTAGAGGCACTCCATTCTCACTTTCCAGATCAGGTTTGTTGTTGGTGGAGGGTTTTTTTTCCCCTTTCTCTTTTTTGTTCTTAAGTTCCTGCCAGTTTTGCATCCTTACTCTTTTCTTTCTCTCGCACCTCACATTAGCAAATTCTGACGGCTCTTCCACTATCACACGAGTCCAAGCCATCATTATATTTTACACAGCTGCAACAGATCCTTTTAATACAAAAATTAAATCATAATACTACACTGTTCAACACTTCCAGTGTCTTCCTATCTTACATGAAACAAAAACTGAAGTTCTTATCTTGGCCAAAAGTCCCTGCGGGACTTGAAACCCCCACCCCCTCCGACCCCATCTCTCTGTCCTTGCTCTCTGCACTAGGTGCTCATGGCATGGTCGTGCCTTGGATTCTTTGTTCTTGCTCTTACCTGTATCTGCAATGTCTGCCTTAGCTACCTGGATGGCTTATTCCCTACATTCAGGTCTCTTTGCAAACACAGCATCAGAAAGATAGTCTCTCACTAAGGATAAATAGCAATAGCACCCTGTCACTCACTAGCCTCTTTGTACATTATTTTTCTTCACAACACCTTATCATCAAAGGACAAATATTTATTTGTTGACCATCCGTCTTTCTCCACTAGACTATATACTCAGTGAAAATTGGGACTCGGTCTTGTTTGTTCATTTATATTTTCTTTGCACCAAGAAGAGCTGGTGTATTGAGAGACTGATTAAATCTGCACTTTAAAAAAATAAACAAAATATTATAAACTGCATATGGAGTAAAGCATTACAGTTAGTACTCCTTAAATTCAGCCCCAAGAGGCAATCAAGAAGTATACTTCCTTTTTTCTTGATACACATATACAAAAATGTATATAAATGTAGTATGTATGCATGTATATATATTTTTAACGGAATGAGACTACACAATGATCTATAACTTGCTTTGTTTACTTACCTTACTTTTTATAATAACTTAAGTTGTATTATAATTCATTTTGTTTGTTCATTTAAAAATGTATATTGTGTCACGCACAGTACGAACCAACTGGATATACACTGGTAAATAAGACAGAGGCAGTCTCCGCTCTGATGGAGCTAACACTGTCACCACAGCAGGAACATTTAGGATGTTTCCTAATTTGCTATTATAAAAAATGCCGCACTAAACATATAACTTTGTGAACCTGTGACGGTATGTCTGTAGAA